TGTGCTCCAAAGTGTGAGCTGGTACACCGGTAGGGTTGTGTGGAAGGACTTCGGTAGCAAGTTCCTTTGGCGATTTGAAACCATTCCAAGCGGAGGTGGTCCACTCCTTTGATGTTGGTTGATAATCCTTGCTCTTGGCGAAGCTCTCCTCCAACATTCCCCAAACCCACTTTCGGTGCTCATCAATGTCCTCCTTGGTAAAGCTACCATCCTTGAGAAGTTGATCAATGTAAATGTCAATTTGAGACTTGTGCTTTTGAATGCGCTTGTACATCAAAGGCTGTGTGAACGAAGGTTGATCGGTTTCGTTGTGACCATGCTTTCTGTAACAAACGAGATCAATGACAACATCGCGTTGGAACTCAGCACGCCAATCAGCAGCCAATTGACAAACGTAGTTGACAGCCTCAACATCATCAGCATTAACATGGAAGACAGGAGCATCAATTGACTTGGCGATGTCGGTACAGTAAGCTGTTGATCGAGCGAAACGTGGATCGGTGGTGAAACCAATTTGATTGTTGACAACTAAGTGGATTGTACCACCTGTAGAGTATGCAGGCAAAGAGTGGAAACCCAAACATTCGTATACAATACCTTGGGCAGCAAAGGCAGCATCACCATGGAGGAGAACACCCATAGCAGTCTTGTGGTCCTTTTCATCATTGTTGTAATGCTGGATAGCTCGAGTTTTACCGAGTACGACAGGGTCTTCAGCTTCGAGATGGGAGGGATTGGCGACCAAGGAAAGCTGTACACGTTTGCCAGAAGGAGTTGGGCGCTCAAAGTTCATTCCCAAATGGTACTTAACATCACCGGAACCTTCATCCTCAGCAGCAGCGGAACCACCGAATTCACTGAAGATTGACTCGTTTGGTTTCCTGACAACGTTACTGAGAACATTCAAGCGACCACGATGAGGCATTCCAATGACAATATCTTTGACGCCAAAATCGACACTTCTGTCGATCAAAGCTTTCATACCAGGAACCAAGGTCTCACAACCTTCCAAACCGAAACGCTTGTCGTTGGGGTATTTGGTAGCCAAGAAACTTTCGAAACTTGAACTCCAGATCAAACGATCCAAGATTCTGCGCTTCTCATCAATTGAGTATTTGAAAGGCTTGTCAACCTCAATTCGAGCTCGTAACCAATCACATTGTTCTCTGTCAGGAATGTGGATATATTCGACACCATACGAGCCACAGTAGATACGTTCGCATGCCGCAATAATTTCGCGCAGGGTCATCTTCTCACGACCGGCTTTCTTAAAATGTGGCAGAATACCAGGGCCAAGGGAGTATTCGGTGTCCAGATCCTTCTCCGAGAATTGGTAATGTTCGAGTTGGAGCTCCTTAGGTTTGCTGTAACCAAATTCCTCAGCCTCGCGTCTAATACCGAGAGGGTCGATATCTGCTTTGTGATGTCCGCGAGCTTGATATGCACGGCATAACAACTGAACCTTTAAGTGATTTGTGACTTCTGAACCCTCTCCGCCACCTAAGCCTGGCAAGAAACTTGGAACGCCTCCGGTAGGTGTGGGAACCAAAGTTGGGGGAGGGGTGAAAGCTTGCGACATTGGCATATCACCACTCTCCATATTCCTGAAGTAAACCTGCCAGGAGATATGCACGCTCGATGGATCCTCCTTCCATTGCATGTACATCTCATCAATGTAATTTGCGGTGTTTCCGGACAAAAAACTGTCATTTGAATCTGGGGCACTTGCAGAAGTCGACTCATGTCTCTTCTGGGAAATGATAGCTAGAGAACGTCGTTTCGACGAGAGGGCGGATTTCGATGTGGCATTCGAGATGGAGAGAGGTGATCTTGAGGTTGTGCACAGAGTTCTAGCAGAGCAGCCACCCCTCAAGAGCTGGCTGCTCGATTGCCTCAGTGTAGTTCGAAGCATTGCGCCTGCCAATGCGAATAGGAAAAGACCGAACCAAGAGGTATTCTATAGAATAGAGTAGGGAGGTTGAATTCAACCAAAGTTGAAAATGAGAGGCGGAGTAAGTCTTATTTTTAAGCAAAATACAAGAACTGCGTAACAGTTCGGATAGAAATGGCAGACGAGTCAAATGATCGCACCGAATCAGATTTTGGGTGGAACAGTTGCATTGATGTTTAGCCTCACAATTGAGGCAATTATCAAAAATAACATGCCGCAAAATTCGCCCGGACGAATCAGAAGGATGAAGCGGAATTTATTAATTCCGATTCTTTCCATTTTAACCAAGGTAAATGGAAAAATAAACAAAGCTAAACCTTTACAAGACTAGCGCAGGCTTACTTTGTACTATTGATGTGTCAGCATTTTTCAATGATTCCTGGCTGGATTAACAAAGGTCATCGATCATTGAAAGGCTGAATTCAAAGTACGGCAAAGGCACCTGAGGATAACAAGATCTTCCATACGACCACACACATACATTTACTACTTGCCTGGGCATCTTATCTAGCCAGGTGTATTCTATTCTGTTGCATGGAATAGTATAATATAAAACCACAAGGGGGACATAAGAAAATATAAGAGCAAGTCGGCAAAAGGAAGAAACATTAAAAAGGTCAAGAACTCTTTCAACAAATACCTTCAGGCTTCTTTCCATTTTCATCTTGTTTCTTCGATTTGCTCCCTTGTATTTCTGGTGAAGACAAAATTTACCCCTGTACTCTAATAAGAACATTTCCATATTCTTTTATTTGTATGCGATAACGTGCATACTCGGGTCTTGCATGAAAACATGGCGCCACCTCCTCAAGGGCTTGCCGTATACAAGAAGAAAGATGGGACGCTGAGTATATCTAAAGACGAAAAGTCAATTCAATGGTTACCTTTGAAGGCGGATGGAGGGGGAGCTACAGTGAATATTGCGGTAGCAGATATTACCAGTAGGTTTACTCGGCTTTTGAGGTTTCATTGGCTTGATATATTAACGCTTTTCAGATTTGCAGCAGACACCCGAAACCGCTGCAAAGGTAATGTTGAAAGTTTTTGAAAAGTCAGCAAATTCCCCGGAATCAGTGACCCATCTTTTCCATTTCAATTCCCCTGCCAATCCACGTGGGGAAGCGAATGCTATCAAAGATGCCTTGACAAATTTGATTAGTGCATTGAAAGCGGCGGATTCAAATGTGCCCAAGGTAAATGGTTCTGGGCCTGCTTCCGCGGCCATGGCAATGGCAAGTGCCGTAGCATCAAAGCCTGGTTCTGGGAATGCCAGGTTTTTTGATGATGCTCAGTTGAAGACGGATATCGAGTTGCAACAATCACTCATGAAGAAGGATCCAGCACTGCAGCGAACTTATATGGAGGCAAGACGGACCAAGCCAGACACGATATCAGATTCCCAATTCAATTCTCAGTTTTGGTCTGCACGAACAAATCTTTTGCGAGCTCATGCAGTTGAGTCTAGTCAAAAAAGGGGCCCTTACAATGTCTTGTCTGCCGTAAAACCACGTCAAGTCGATGGAGAGCTGAAGATGAATATCAGTGCGGAGCAAGTCCAACTAATTTTCAGTCAACATCCACTAGTCAAGAGAGTTTACGACGAGAATGTTCCTAAACTTAATGAGATGGATTTTTGGTCAAGATTTTTCCTCAGTCGCCTATTCAAAAAACTCAAGGGGGAGCGCATTAGTGAACAAGATAGTCTTGACCCTACCTTTGATAGGTATCTGAATGCCAATACTGATGATGGACTCGATCAAAGACTTCTTTCTACTCACATTCCTCACATCATCGATCTTGAGGGCAATGAAGAGAACCAAGGGGGTATCAGAGCAGGCAATCGAAAGGACTTTACAATGCGACCTGAAGCATCGGGAAAAGTACCAATTGTTCGAACTCTCAATAGCTTGAGCGAGAAAATCATGGCTCATGTTACCCCATCTGATGTAGACCCCTCAGACCCTATCGGCATGGATGAAGAAACATTCAATTCTTTAGCATTAAGAGATCTTCAGGGCGATGCAGAAGAGAACAGAATCATGCTCAACATCAAAGAACAGAGCCAATTCCTTTCAAGCGAAAAGTCTGCCATATCTGAAGAAGCCGCTCTCTATGCGAAGCAAATACCTTCCGATGTTTTGCTTGGTCTGCAATCTGATCTCGACCCCACATTAATAGGCGTTGATTCCGCTGGCGGTTTAGACCTGCGGACAGCTATTGGGGTAAATGAAGAGAGTGACAGCGAGGAAGAGGAAGAACATAAGATTCCTCATGTCGGAAGCAAAAGCAGTCTGATGGATGCCCAAAAACAAATTTTCGAAGGGATCGCGTCACGACGGACAGAAATGGATGGTTCTAGTACTACATCTGCGTTAGCGGGTTTATCGCAAAAGCTTTTTGATAGATTGACACTGACACATGCCACTACTGTCGAATTCCTTCACCATTTCTGGCTTATATTTCTTTCAGGAGATCCGGATCGGGCAGGTGAGCTTGCAAAGATGGTTGAGACACTTGATAGAGCCATGGATCGGATTAATGCTGTCGCGGCTGATGCCGAATATGAGAGAGATGAGATCATCGAGAGACAGAAAGCACATCTAAGAGATGTTTGGGAGAAGACGGGGAAGAAAATAAAGTGGAATCCTGATTCCGTTGGTGGAGGTTCAAAAGTAGTCGGAGAAATGATGCAACCTACCATCAAAACTTTGGAGAAGGCATCGAGGGAGTATCGAAAGGCGTTGGCGGCTGAAGGTGTTGAGGGAACTTGAAAACTTATCCTTTTATCTAGATAGTCTTAACATAGCGACGGCGTTTAATTGGGAAGGAATGACACTGGCATGTGAAGGTTGATAGTTCCTTCCACGATGAGGTAAACCGCTTCGTAAAGTTTAATTTTCTACAAATAAATATTTACTAGGTTTTTGTTTTATTTTCCCTTTGTCATGACATTACTCTCCATGTATATGAGACTTTTCTGATTTTGTCTTATTCATTCGCTACTTGCATTGCTTCTACCTTCATGCTTTTGGATATCATTCCTTACGTCATGGATATTATAACAGTTGTACACCCAAATCCTTCATCGCCAACTGGTAGTAGAAATCCTCTACTGCCCAGAACAACATCACCTCAGCAGACGCCGGCACATAACATTCGTCGTAAGGGATCTTTCATCAGGGCAATCCCAGACTCTTCGGAAGAATCTCCGCCAAGCACTGACAATTCCATATTTGAAGCATTTTTGTTTTCCAATAGCAATAGTGAAGACAGTGTACATAAATCTGATACATTACTACGCTCCAAACAAGCGACCTGCGAGGTTTTTCCATCTAATGACGAAAACATGAAACAAACATCAATCTCTACTCAACCCGAATCTACAACGACGGAGTTTCTCTATGGCCATGGTACGGTCCTAGATACCATAACGGAACAAAAGAGTTATGGTACTATGCGTAGTGTCACTCGTACCAAATCAGCAGATGATATATCCACCATTCGTAGCGTCGCCCGTACGAAATCCGCAGATGGCATCTCTACTTCTCCACTTCTTGGTCATCGTGACAGTTTTACTATAGCCAAAAATCGTCCTCGACACAAGCAATCTTTCAGTCTTGACGACATATGGTGCATTAAGGATTCCTATCACGACGCATGTGCCATGATTGACCAAGCTGCCCGACGCAGATTATCCATCCACGAAGTCTATGCCAAGCCCAAAGAGCCTCTTCTTGCACCCCCAGAACGCCCTGATACACCACCAGGATGTCCCTCTTGGACTGAAGCACAAAGACCTGGTCCACGCCAGCATTTAATACCTCATCATACTCGTCTTCAAAGGCTTCTAAGAATGCCGTCATCGGGGCTCACACTTTCACCAACACCTGCGAGATCTTTCTTCACCGGGAGGGTCGTGTCGGCTCCAGGACTCACAAGACTTCCTCCTCGTTTCAGAGCCCCAAGAAGTGTATACTCAGCCATCGATACCCATCCATTCAGCAATGCACCAGTCCATAAAATTGATCCCGAACCACCAATCGAAGCACCCCGTCCTATTGTAGCCCCAATCTTGAGCCATCATCCTCGAACCTCTTCACTTCCCTCGGCCACTCCACTAACATTAACAAATTCCAACGCTAAAGGCAAGGGAAAATCCAAATCCAAATTCGCTCGTTTCACTCCCTCGGCCACTGCCCGCGACTCCGAAATACTTAACTTACAACACGCAATTGAAGCAACTAGCTCGACAGCTCTTCACCCATTAGTCGATCATTCCAACTTTCATTCTGTGCCGATAAAGATACCAAAATGTCCGCATAGAAAGGGAAGAAAATATGCTATGAATGAAGTGAATCAGAGATTCAATTCACCAGTTGATGCTTATCAAGTTCCAAGAAGCAACCAGTACTTACCCCTTCCGTCTGTGGCACCTCTTCCTAAACTACAGATGCCTAGCATAAGGGGCTTACGATCGATGGGCGATTCGGCTATTTCGCTTCACGCTTCTACGTATTCTGGAGAGAGACATCCTACTTCGATTGATATCAATCATGGCACTAACAGAGATAACGATGAAATTCGCAGAGTATCCCTCTCTCCCTCTCTCATCAGCGACATCAATGCTGAATTCCCAAATACAAGTCGAGACGACGTCGATCTTGGCATCATTGATCTGGAACATGAGAATCGTACAAGTGTTTATACAAGGTCTCCAGGTACACCGTTAGCATCTCGATCAGCATCCGCAAATACGAGTGCGAACACGAGCGGGTATTTCATGACTGGCGCATTGCATATCCCGCATGTAGAGAGGGGTGAACAACAAGCGCTCAATGTGCCGATTTTGACGGGAGCGAGAATGATGAATGTATGGAGTCCGAGTTTGAGAATGGGTGGCGATGGATATGGAACGGGGATTTCGGAGGGGGATTTGGCTAGTGTTGCCAGAGCTGAAGACAAAAAAGATATTGATGAAAGTCTTTGTTGGAAATGTAAAGTTATAGGCGCGAAGAGAAAAGTGGAAGATTGGATAGATAGAGGGGGTGATTGGGTTTGTTTTGTTTGTTGTGGGGGGTGGGAGGAGGAGAGGGGAGAAGTGGCAGACCAGAGAGAGGCGGAGAGGAGGAGGAGAATTGTTTTGGGGGGAGTACCGGGTGTGGGTATTTAGGCGATGAGATGGGATGATAGAATTGTGCGAATTGTGAGTAAATGGATCAATTGGTATAAAGGAAGTAGTCGGTAGATGTGGAGATGAAAAGACGTGGATAAAGAGGTTGTGCGTCAGAAGATTGAAGGGGGGAAGAAATTGGAAGGTATTGTTTTCACGTTTTTTTCCTAGTTGGTACAATTACCAACTTCGACTGATTAATATTGATACTTATCAATAATAGCTTAAGCACTCAATCCTTCATCCGTTGGAAATACATTGAACTTTTTCAATTAGTTTAGTCTAATGAGTAGTACTAAAATATTCTCACTCATTCATACTCCATCAAAGCAAAGTGGTCCCTTCAAACCTTGGTATCAATCATAATATGCACGCGAACGTATCGACGCATTAACTTCCCAAATACGAAATCCCCTGTAAATAATCTTTCTTCACATTTCATGCACATTCTGTCTCGGAGCGTAGTACTCCTTCATAACATTAACACCTCCGTCCATTTCTCTCGGGGGAAGTTCATTCGACAACTCATTCGCAGCGGGTCCACGACCAAACGATGGGGGAGAGGTATAGATTTCTTTCGAATCGATTTCTTGCGTCATATCATGTGCACGCTTTTTTCGACGTCGTATTAAGAGAAATACAGCAGCGGCGATACCGACGATTATGACGGCGGCAGCAATGCCTACTCCAGCTGCAAGGGCAGTCGAGTTGTTGGGCTTAGGGCTGGTTAGAGGGGTTGGAGATGAGGATGATTGGGAGTTTGAGGAAGGAGAGGAGAAGGTGGCGGATTCTGATGTTTTTGTGGTCATTGCGGCTCCTGATTCTCTGGGAGTTGTCGTGTATGCGGTGTCTGTGGATGATGCTGTGGAGGAGGTTGTGGTGATAGATGAAGTTGTTGTTGCTGTTTGTGAAGAGCCTATCATGGAGGCAAATACGGCATCGTCGATGTTCCATCCATTGATGTGTTCTCCGTGTACAGAGAGCGTTGAGCTAACTGTCAAACTTGTGGGTTGGAAGATGCCGCCGGTAGCAGTTTGATATTGGAGGATCTCACCGGCGGTGAGGGTGGACATGCATTGGGTTGGGTAGTCACCGTATGAGTATGATGGGATTAAGACGGAAAGATTATAATCGCTATGACTGTTAGTTATTTTTTCCGACAAAAATGCTTTTGCAGGATGAGTAAGAATCTTGTGATCACATACGTAGGACAACAAAAGACTTGTGTAACACCCGCACTATGAACGGAAGTTGCAACGGTGCTATACGCTGCAGGACAATTGAAAGTCGGACCCAAAGATATTGTAACGCTCGATGGCTCTAGCCACCAACTGGCCATTTCATCTGCAAAACATCGCGGAGAACCAGTGTCAAGAACAGCTTGATATAAGGGATCCCATCCAAAAACTTTCCCGGCATCTTTCCCCGAACCAACATATACCAAACTTGAGCAAGCTGCTGTAGAAGGCCATGCTGTAGACAATGGCAACCAAGTCGTGATTGTTGCACTTGAAGTTTGGAGAATCTGATCTGGAAACTTAGTGGATACCATTTCAACAAGGAGTGCCGGAATTTCAGAGACTTCGATCAATTCATCAACGATTCATTTTGGGAGAGAAAAAAACAGGAAGAAAAAAGGATTGAGTTCCTAACAACAGCACAAAGAGACGAAGAGCAAAATAGGAAGATATGGCTAGAGGAATATGTACCGCCTGGATCAAAAATAAGCAGAAGGATGAAAATATAACACAACCAAAAACCTTAAACTTTAAGATTAGATTGGTATCTGCGCAGATCCATATAATACAGATCGTAGAGCTCCATTTGGATGATAACGACAGAGCTGAAGCAAAGATATTGCCGCCGAGGTTTAGTGCTTACACCGGTGTCATGGGTTGAATAATCCTTCGCGAATCTTGAGTGGGGTCCGGCAAATCTCTCGAGACTTCTGCGATTGATTTGACCGCTGATTCATTTGTAGAACTATATTGAATTAGCACCAGATCTTTCGATTAACTTGGTTACCAAATACAAAGATTCAATAGATAATCGTGAGTTTCTCTGTTTTCGATATAAGATAGAGGGTTCACAGGTAGGTATGTCGTAGTGGATGAGGGGATTTCGACCCACTTCTCCTGACTGTGTCACATGGCTGTATATAGTGGTAATTAGCCAGATGAAGATGTCGGGTTCCAAAAAAAGATACAAACTGCAGCTCGAACCTAGCAGGTCTCGAGAATTTGAAGTTGGACAATTCTGTTGCAGATTCTAGCCATAGACTAAACTATTCTTTGCTATGAGAAAGTTTTTGTTTTCATCATGGCAAGTAATTGAAATCACGATCCAAAAATCGTTAAAGTTAGATATTCATCTTTCGAAGTGCATGTATGCGTGTAAAAAATCCCACCTTCTCTGCTATATGCACCCTTTCAATTATGTTTAGCAGAAAATCTCATAAAATCATAAAATCAACAATCTAGATGAAGCGACCAGCCTTCTCCAACCAAGCAGCCTGGTAGTTGAAAGCGTTCTTGATAGTGTTGTTGTACTGTCCAGGGTATGTCTCACAATCAGTACATGGGTTAATGGTATGTTTGGCACCTTCGACGAAAGCTTTCGAGGTATCGTTGGAGCCGGAAGCAAGGAAGGCCTTCTCGGCATTTAAGTACTCGTAATGTCCAGTATTACCCATCAAAAGGAACGGGATCTAAACACCCTTGACAGTGTTGATAGGAACGATGTGGGAGGAGTTCCATTGGATACCGTCGATACCGTCTGCATTGATCTTGTAATCGTCATTGACTTTGATAGCGAAGGTTCGGAGGTAGCGGCCAATTGTGGTCTTGAAGGCTCCGTCGTAGAAGGAGGACACGATGTTAAAGCCGATAGCAACACGGACAGTACTAGCAATTTGAGTTTTGGCGGTGCCGTTGTTGAGGATGAGTGGCTAGAGGTATGTGGTGTGGGAGAGTAGACTATGCGAGGCATGTTAGTTGTGCATTGAGGCAAGGGTACAATTGAACTCACGAGTTATCTTGCGAGATGAGCTTGTTGTTTGTCCCCAAGTAGTTAGAGTCTGGGATAATAAATCCCTCATCATCGTCGAAGAGTGCATCAGAAGTGTTGTAATTGCTGATGGCATCGGCACGACCTTGGGCAAAGGTAAGGAGACGATTGTTACAGGAAACAGCAGCAGTGGACCAACAGAACAAGAAATTGGCAGTGTAGTTACTGCTTCCGCCACTTGCATTGTAGCCGTAAGTAGTGTTGTAGAGATGGAGAGTTGCGTCGATGTCACGGAGACCAGTGGATTCGTTCTTGATGGCAGCGTTGAGACTAATGAATCCCATTGTGGAAAGACCGTAGTTGGCATCATGCAAGATGACACCGTCGGCAGGTGGGAGACCAGCATGGTCGTCTGAGCAAATGCTGATCTTCTCAGGTCCTTTACAAGCAGACACTCCATTCTCAGCAGTATTTTGGCTGTTGGATATTAGGTTTTTTTCGCGTGGTCATCATTTGAGACATTTGTTGAAAAAACAAGAGAAATTTACTACTCAGATATCATGGCTTCACCACCACTGTGACCCCAGAGAACGACCTTCTCGATTTAGGTCTGGTTATGTAGCCATTGAACCATCTCACTGACGTTGGTAATCGTGGCTGGGAAGTCAAGATCATTCATGAGCCCAGTCTTGGAGGCAGCATTGTTACCACAAAGAACTGTATATCCACAAGCGGCCAGCTGGGTACAAGGGTAGAAGTGCCAGCTGCAAGAAATCTTTAGTTCATTGATTGTGGTGATAATAGATGAGAGAACTCACTAATCTTGTTCTGCGTGCATAACCATGAGAACGATGCTTGCTTTTGGCGCGCTAGTGTTCAAAGGTCTGTGGATAGCACCAACAAAACCGTCACCATTTTAGGCGGAAACAGCAATAGGCTGTGGCAGCAAGGTCAGATTGACAGGAGCACTAGCGTATGCTAGTGTATCCACTTGAGCATTGGCGACTGAAGCGCTGAGAGCAACTACTGCTGCTACAGCACTCTTCATTGTGACAGCGACAATGATGGATAGAGATCGGTGGAAAGTAAAGCCCGGATTTCCTTAGTTGATGGATCGACGAAGAGGTGAGATTGAGATGGCCAGTCGTCGCCTCTTGTACCTTTCCGAGCGCGTGGATGAATTCGTGAGATACCCTCACCTCAGTCTTCTTCGCTCAGCCTCTTTTCGAATATTAGTATGGACTATGTGGATAAAGGTGTACTCGTAAGCTGGCGATAATGTGTCGCACAACCTACCCATTTGCCTCTCCACCGCTTCTCACAATATCCATTGTACGGTTGGGATGTCTATCTTAAACCCCGCTACCAAGCTTTTCGGGTAAATATCATCAATCAATATGATCAACCAGACTCTGCAAGTACACTTGAGAGAAATTCCATGATTTCGATGATATGATTTCCTATCATTTTGTCAGTAAATCTTAAATTTATAAATTTGCGATACATTTCGTCGGTTTTATCAAATCATATAAAACTTCGATCAGTAGAATGATTCTTAGAATGATATCATTGATTTAAACTCTATTGATGGAACAAAGTTCGGCAGTTTTCTGGGCGTGTTTTGCAACATTTTAAACCTTTAACCTTGGTCAACTATCTTTGGCAGCATAAACCCATTTTCTAGAAGGGTCGTACTTTCTATCATGAACGATTGAAAAATATTCTCTAAGTGATCGATGGTTGCATTGACCAACGATCAAATTATAAAATTCTGCATGCGTAATCATTGAGAACGTTGCCACTGGAGGTAAGCATGAAAGTGTTAAAGTTCTTGTGTTTGTGGGAAAACTGACGTTAGGCCAGATCACGGCCCCGAAATGACTTAGATGCCGTTTAGTTTGACATCTCCGGTAGAACTAGTGTGGCTTAAAGGGGTAAAACTTTTATTGGATCCTTGGGCTTCAATCGTAACACGCATTTTCTCCCCAAACATTGAAGAAAAATGACACTGATTGCAACTGCTCAGCAGATTTGGAAGCTAGAAGTTGTTCGAAATATGCCTAAAATTGCTAAATTAGTAGTGATTATGCAATATTCTATGAGATTATAAACATTCCTCAAGGCGAGATCAGTTCGAAAGACAGCGTTAATTAATATGGAAATGCAAGTGACCTCACATTCTTCTCGCTGGCAACTCGTTCGATTACAAGTACCCCATCGATAGATTTCGTGTCACAGTGTTTCGTTTCATCTTTCTACGTAATACGAAACACGTGACAACCCCAATTCAAAGAAAATAAAAGCTCCACTCCAAATACCTGCCTACCTACTTACCTAGGTATAATGTTTCGTGAATCTGCATCTTGAGGTAAGTTTTGCGTTTGATATTTCTCCATTCGAGAGGTGCACTGATTGTGGATTAGATCGTTACTCCGACATAGCTGGTTCACTTCGTGGAGTGAGCAGTTACTCTGCACCAGCGAGCAGCTGTTCGAGCGTCTAAGCAATCGACTTGAAGGCCTTTCTTGTAACCCCAGGTAGATCGCGGCTGGATGAATTCCTTATACCGCCGAAGACAAAATCGCTACCAACACTTTGCAAATGAGGGATTCTCCTCGTTGAGACGTCATATACAGCACCAATTACAACCGAGGTATGACTCCTAAGACACTCACTGCAAATCTGAAAATAGCTAGAGTCAGAGGGTCTGTCCACTTTCCGTTCTAATGTATAGCAGATTAGGCGTTGCTGGAACAGTATGATATATACATTGGCTGTGCAAATTCCGATAGGGACACTAGCTTTGTAAGAATCTTGAGGGTTGGAGAAAACTTCAGTTTTTCAACCTTATGGACAATCTTAAAGTTGGGACCTATCTGTTAAATATGAGGCTGTTCAGCTGTTTGCACTCGACAAGGAAACATCCGCTCTCAGAAACCTGGTAGCATCCTTCGGTAAAGAAAGCAAGACTATGTGGCATGATGTGTTGGCACTGAGAAAGATTCAGCGATCAACATTTTGCAGTGTTCAAATAGCTAAGTTGGAGAGACATCATGAATGATGTGCAGTTCACGGTCTTAGTAGGAGTTTTAAGCAAGAAGATGTAAGAGGTAGACTGCCCGATCCAAGCATCAACACATCCAATAAAGCTTTCAGAGTCGATTCTTTACTAATACAGGGTATTTTTGAGATAGATTTTCAAGAAATTCTGAGGCGCAATTTCATTCTTGGTAGTCATCTCAGCTGAGAGATATACGTACGTTGAAAAGAGTGACACCTTAATTTATCCACTATAACTTCGCGACATTCCGATCATATAGCACGGATGTATACGATTAATGGAAGTGTTTCCTTGTGAGGTAGAATCCCATTACCTTTTACTCTCGAATTGGCATAGATAGAGCCTCTAGTCACTTTGAATCATTTACTAGCCAAAAGATTGACGTGAGACAATTCCAGCCTTCCAGTTTCAGCCCCAAAAGCTTCTACTACACTTCATAAAATATCAAGATATTGTGCGGATTATCGAGAACTGGCTGGCTGAATGGAATAAGGCGTGCATTAGCTTGCTTACTCTACAGTATGCACCGCAAGCTAAGAGCTACTAAGTCTTGTGCTACGTGCATATGTCATATATTTGACTAGGTAGTTTGGGATGAGTTTGCATCTGGTTCCTGGACGATTTCGCAGAGCCACATAGTGGTTCTACCATCCCCAAGGTAAGGGACTAGCTAGCTAATCGGAATTCGGTGACACAAACCTCGCCAAATTATCATCCGTCGGGTTCTTGTGCAGTGTATCATTGATCTGGTGTCAGGGGAACGATAATTATTCCTCCAATTCTCAGAATACTACTCCGTAATGAAATCGGCCGATAAATAATGCACCGATGCCTCAATGTTTCGTTACACTTCCTTACAACGTGGGGTACCCAGCAACAGGTCTTACTATAAATGACAATATCTTTCCATCAGCTCTTGACCTCTCACATAAACTCAATAAACTCTACCCACAGTTCTTGTTTTCAACGAAGCAATTCTCGTTTCAAGATAAAACGAACCGGTAAGTTCCTCATTACTTGCAAGTCGAGAGAAATAGAAATAACTGACTCACAAAATGCAGTATTAACACGAAATCAATCACACGATGCATTTTTTGAAGATTTCTAGTATCCTGACTCTTTCTTCGACTGTCTTCGCAAACCAATGCTACAACCATAAGGAAGGCGTGCAGAAAGTGCAATGCGTTCAAAAAGAAGAGCTATCACAATTCGCCTCCAACTACTGCAAAGAGAACTGGAGCAAGCTTGTGGGAGACTGGACCGAATACAATGATCGAAGTGGAAACACGGCGAATATTGGCAAGGTGGCCAATTTTCACTCAGAGGAAGCCTGTATCATTGCCTTTCTGCAAGTAGTGGAAAAATGTTACGATGGCTGGGGTGGTGGCCTGTCGATTGATGAGGGGGCTTTGTTGAATGTCAATTTTTGCAAGTGGCAGGCGGAGCCAAAGAGAGTTCGATATGATTCGTTGGATGCTAGACCCGAGGCAAAGAGAGTTGGATGGGATGAGTTAATTGACGTTCCTGAAGCAAAGAGACTTAGACCTGAAGCACCAAGGGTCAGATATGAAGGACTCCGAGAAGCAAAGAGGGTCGCGTGGGATGGATTGAAAGAAGCGTCTGGAGCTAGAGGATCCAAACGGACCAAACCTACGGCTCCACGAGTTCGATATGAAGGACCCCGAGAAGCGAAAAGAGTAGCCTGGAACGGAATCCCAGGTGACCATGAGCACACTGCCAAAAGAGTTGGATTTCAAGGATTGAGACTGCAATCTCAAGATTTGTGAAATGAAATAGGGAGAGTGAAGGCAATCTTTCTCCTCATTATTGTTCTTCCCTCGTGTTTCTCGATGTAGCTCTGCAGTTATCTATGGATTTTGCAATGAAGATTCGGTGGCATATCTGTACACTGTGTTATGCTTTGGTGGATTCTATTTGTCTAGAATATGCTAGTCAAAGGCGGGATTTCTTTTCATAATGAGGGTCCAGTTGTGTTTCTACTTGTGCATCAGGATTCTTGATTCAATGTTATTCCCGTCATTTGAAGATTAGCTTTGTAAAAAGTGAATGCATTCGTTTACGTCCTCCATTTACCTTCTTGTTGGGCGCACTTACTCATCACTCCTGCTCTGATTTATGAGTAGAGAGTCAAAGAATCCAGGATATAATCCCGGCTATCTTGTGTATGATAAAGGGATTTTGAACTACTATGATTCTTACTGGCTTTGAACAGGCTCTCCTGCATAAGATTCCTATAGATTTGACCTCCTTACTAGATAAAAGAGATCCTAAAATAGAATTGTATTGAAGAGAATTGCAATACCTCTTTCGAAGATTATTGATTCAAGTCAAAGTGGGTATAGTATGGAAGGGACATCACGAGGACGGAAATTTTCCTACATTCATTGTATGCAACTCTTCGGGCGAGAACCAGCTTTCCGATATACGGAACTCATGTGGTGATCATCGAAATGGAAAATAGTTTCACCAAAGCAAGAGTTCCTAATGAGGAACGTGAGAGAGCATTGAAACCCGTCACCTCTCTCCTCATATCCTCCCAGTACCAGCTGAAAGATAATTTCATGCAGTTCTACTAAATAGAGACCTCAATATTTGTTTCACAAGTCATGATTTTCACGCAAAGTAACATCACGTACGACACTCCGCATATCACAGCATCACGATTCCCGATGCGAAGTATTAGCCGACATGACACCGACACGATGTAAGGGACAACTCTCCAAAAGGCGGTAAGATAGAGCAGAGGATAAATTATTGATTTAGTAATATGTTTCACAGTCCATCCGAGAATTGAAGTCATACAAGACACGGAGAAATGCCCCGCAAGGATATGCAAACGAATTTTTAATGCGGGGCAAGGGGCGGCTGAAGAGAATAGCCGGAGAATCAATTCTTGATCTCTCGTGTGTGATGTATGTCTCGCTTTTTGGGTCGAGGCTGGCGGAGGGGTAATTTTCTGAGTAGGCTCAATTCATTGATCAGTGCATCAAGCTATCGATTATATCACCAAGTGGAAATGATCGGCTTCGTTGTTGAGTTTCATTATGAGCGCAATATTTTGGTAAGCTTATAGAGTATGGGGTAAGCTAGAAATTGTACTTATACTCTGCAAATCAATTTCAAATTTGGTCAGATATCATATGTGATATCGTCGAAGGCTAACATGAATGGCGTAGCTGATGGGACACCAGGACAGGTGCTGGCACTCCAAGAACTATCATGTAAGTAGCTAAACCATGTTTTGTAGGGCAATCAGACTAATTGTGTGTATCTAGGTAGATATGCAGAGAATATTGCCAGGCTACGAATGGAAATAATCGCCCGTTGTACAAATCCGAAGAGGTCGCTCAAATTATCTGCAAGCAGCATAAAAAGAGGTTATTACTTTGAACATCGTGTCTTACCCGCGACCCGTCTCGGAGACAGAATACGCCAAAGTATGATTGCCAGCAGATAAAAACAATATGGCGAGTTTCGTCTCCTAAAGCTTCATTTCGTCAAAGAACTGTGCATATAAATAGTCCTTCCTAGACCATCATATCAAAACAATTATCCATCAACCAGCTTTCACATCTTCAAATTCCAACAACTGCTTACGCAACAGTTACAGTTTCCCAACCTCGAGCAGAAACACCCTCCCAACAGTTTTCACCATGAAGTTTATCTATCTTGGGCTCCTCATCGCTGCCACCACCGCGTATGCCTGCGGAGACAATGCCTACAGGTGCAAGAATCCCAACAAATCAATAGCTGAGGAGTGGAAAGCCACCCACGAAATTTGTAACAATCTCAAGGAGGACGATTGTTATTGTTCTCACTGGGCAGAATACTACTGTGATCCCTATGGCGGGAACATTCAGAAATTCAAGGATCAATGCGAGGCTAAAGGCAGCGACTGGTATTGGAATGAATGTTAGGCAATGTAGGAAGCTTTTTCATCTTCGTAGATTTTTCCTTAGCTAATTTTGGATCAGTTCTCATGAAATCGTCTTATCAGGCCTGAATGCAGTTGGAGCTTGTTTTCATTTGAGCTCCAAGGTATAGGTGTTGATAAAGGGACGGGAAGGAAGGATGTTATGAGGAGTGACAAACGGATTTTTCGTTGACTTGGGACTCCATATTTGTCATGTATTGTGTGTCTCAGCGCGATCTAAATCTTGTTGCATATCGAAAGTTTGGTCATATTTGTTTTAGAGGCTTGAGGAGCTTTGAATTTCACTCTTTTGGCTCTCCGGCAAACCCAGAACGCGTATTTTGGCTCTGGGCACTTTTCTAGCTGAAACCTCGATCAATAACACTTATTTACTGCACACTAAATCAACACGCGAAGACTCAAGTTTTCCAGATACGAATGGGAAAATCGCGAAGTGAATTTCCTAAGTGAATATATTGGGGTGCATAAATATGTGTGTTAATCATGCAAGAAATCCTCCTACTACTTTTTTCACAAGAGGAGATTCAATTCATGGATATAGCACTTGAGTGTGATGACTTACCCAAGTATCAAAATATTATCTAGGTCCTAGTATCTCAACCTCCAGATTAGTCTAACCTAAGTTTTTCAACTCTCTCAAAAGAAGACATGAAGACCCTCATATAAAACAAAAGCCCAGTACTACCAAAGGAAAATTCAGAACAATTCTAAAATTGAAAATAGAAGAACAGGTAAAATTCCTCCTAATATCAAAACTACTCACCCTCACCCATCCATCCTAATCAGAATCACAATACACAACGAAACTATTCCCAGGTATCAGCAAAGATCTTGCAAAATCCTATCCTAATATCGTAAATAACGTAAAGTTTAAATAAGATCTTACATATCCCCTCTTTCACTTGCGAGTACAAAGCTCCAGTTAGACTAATAGCATGCGAACTAATATACACAGCGCCACCAAAACTTCTTTTAAAAAAAATCAGTATAAGAAACTATAGCAAGGAAGTACATACGCTTCGGATACCTCTCCCCAGCCCCCATCCATCCCCATCCCGGAAACAGAAAAATCTAGCGAGAACCCTTGACAGATTAGCCAAATCAATTAAAAGTGGACTTTTCAACCCCGTTAGCCGACATAATTAGATAGGAGCTCGCTAATTACAATCCATTCATTTATCACGCATCTATTATAATGCTTAGGGCCCATTCAGATCTTTTTTAATTTATTATCGAAACAAATCTAGAAAAATTGTTGACGAATAATTTAGTCTAAATTTTATAAACTCAGATTCAATTCTGTAGCCTACGAAATCTAGAATAATAATATATTAATAAACACTAAGAAGCTTCATTACAGACTTAGTAAGATTACTATATAAGTTTTTAAATTTTATCTTTTTATAGGTAGTAAAACATTACATTCAATAAATACTTATTTAGATCTAAATTGATAATAAATGTAGCTCTATATTGTCTAGAATATCGATCCGAATAGGCTCTTGAGACTTAAGGATTCTATATGATTCTTAGCTCGTTTAAATATTATTTTATTTCATTTTATTTCATTTTATTTCATCTCTTCAATCTCTTCAATCTCTTCAATCTCTTCAATCTCTTCAATCTCTTCAATCTCTTCAATCTCTTCAATCTCTTCAATCTCTTCAATCTCTTCAATCTCTTCAATCTCTTCAATCTCTTCAATCTCTTCAATCTCTTCAATCTCTTCAATCTCTCCAACCATAACAATCAATCCCCCCCTATAATCACATTCAATATCACATTCAATATCACATTCAATATCACATTCAATATCACATTCAATATCACATTCAATATCACATTCACATTCTTGAAATAAAAATACACACACACACACACACAACTACTTCAAACACACACCTGTTTCAAATCTCCAGCATCTCCAGCATCTCCAGCATCTCCAGCATCTCCAGCATCTCCAGCATCTCCAGCATCTCCAGCATCTCCAGCATCTCCAGCATCTCCAGCATCTCCAGCATCTCCAGCATCTCCAGCATCTCCAGCATCTCCAGCATCTCCAGCATCTCCAGTCCATCCAACAATCCAATTATCAACTCCATCAACACAAAAAGAATCTCAAAGCCCTCCACATCAGAACACGACAAAAAGCAAATCCAAGACAGGAATACTCGTAGCGAGAAATGAAGATGAAAATAAAGAGAGCAGGAGGAGGAGGTGATAGAGAGAGAGCACAGGGGTGGAAACCTAAAGAAGAGAATGGAGATGGGAATGAAAAAGGGGAATAAAAATGCAGATGAAGAGGTAACATATACGATTCAGAGATTGCGATCGCGAGAAAAGGAGGGGAAGAATCAGGTGCGGAGGATTTTACGATTACAAATCACAAACAACGGTCCACCAGGTCTTGGTACAAATTCGATTCGGAACATCTTGCAATGCTTTCTTGAAAAGATAGTTTTGAGAGAAAACTGATTTTGCAGTGTAGTTCAGGTGAACGTTATAATATAGAAGCAGATCAAATGTGAAAATCTTTTCATTATCGCCCCAAAATTGCCATTAACTCAACCAGCAGAAATCTAACAAGGCCTTTTGCTCCTCAATCTCTCTTGGGGCGGCGCATGGACGCAACATATTCGCTGGGGGATTTGAGCCGCACGACATCCTTCTTAAGCTCCTGCCATTCCCATCTCATTAGCCTTTCTGTACTTGAAAGTTTTATTGGGATAACTTACCTCAATCGGTTGATCTTGGTGAATTTTCCCCATGTATCTTAGCTCTGGGTTCACCTCCTCGATCCTAGAATCGATTTCTTTTCTGGCTTCGTCGGCCCCTTGTTGAATTGCCAGCTGCTGTCGTTTGGGAGGGTCCGGGAACTTGAATCGACTCTCGAGCAATTCTTTTTCCTCCGTATTCAGCTTTCTCTTGACATCGGTTATTTGCTGGTAAGAAGAAAGCGGAATTAGCAATTGCATCTGATGGATCAATTCTACACGAAAAACAAAAAAGACTCTGACCATCGGGTCTTACCTTCTCAACAATTTGGTCCACTTGGCCTTGAACACCCTTCTTCCAATCCTCGATCTTGCCCAACTGACTAGCAAAATCCGACCCCTTTGGTAGTCGGGTCATGAGATCGACGATATGAAGACCATCGATCAGATGAGGGGTGTAAATGTCCTTGTACATTTTGGCAATATCTTTGAATTGCTCGAAACTGGCCCATATTTGAATTGAGTTTGTTTGCAGAAGCTGAGCAGTGTTAGCATGGTTTATGTCGAAAACATTTGCACTAGGAAGATAACTACTTACGATGAGATCGAACATCAAATTGTGATTATCGATGATATGCTCGACCCTCCCTGTGAACGGTGAAATTTGGGACATCATCACCGTGTCCACTCTGGTTTTGAACGTGCGGAAAAAGATCAGCATGCGCGTAATGTGATCCTTCAACGTTATGACGTAGTCTATGCAGTCGTTCAGGACTTCCTTAATATCTTTCTGAACCATAGTCAGTAACCAAATCATTTTGTTCTCCATTGACACCCAAATGCCCTTACCAGTGTCAATTTTGTTCCGGCAAGATTCTGCCCCTTGGATGTGATCTCGCTGACGTTGGATTGCAGTTCTGCAAGCTCTCTCTTCATTTGATCGAGCGCGATTTTGGCGGTTGTGTGCCCCTCTCTTGCGGTCTCTACCAAGAAGCGATGGGCCGACACGACATGTTAACTCACACTCTGTCCGGCTACGGCAGGTGGCGATGCGAGAGCCAGGTTAACTGGGGACACAGCGGGCCGAGAGGCTTGTTTGGATCCTTTCCGGGCGACTTCAATCTTCTGGACAGCGGCCAAACCTTCTTCCACTATATCAAGCCACTTCTTGATTTGCTTTTCCGTGGGCTGCTCCCAGTCCTTGCCCACCGTTTTTGCACTTCTGGCCAATTTTTCGAGGTCGTCAAGTACCTATGAACTCATTAGCAGTGCTATGACACCTTCAGAATGAGGAAAATTTTACCGGATCCACTGTATCAATTGCTCTAAGCAATTTCTTTCCTGTCTTAGAGTTTTTCTTATCACTTGATTTTTTCAAGATTTCGCTGTTCATGTTGAGCATTTTATTCACAATCACCAAGTCCCACTGTCTCCCGTCTCGCGCTGTAGCCTTTTCACTGTCTCCCACGCCAGTCACCAAGTTCCATTGGATCCCATCCTTGTCGTCGCCTTTTAAAAGACCTTCAAGCTGTTCCAGGGCCTTCCTAATCAATCCAGCTTGAAGATGGGCTTTTTCGTCCCCAAGACTGCTCTTGGCCTTGGTGTCTTCCTTGTCATCCTTGTCATCAGTGTCTTTTGAACCCTTCCCTGCTGTATTCTGGCTCAAGGAATTAGCAGCATCCAGAATTCCGTTGGCAGCATTGGCAAAAACGGCACCACTTTTGACCATCGCCACTGCAGACCCAACATTGCCCAGCGCTGTGAAAAGTCCAGTCACACTGTCAGCGAGACTTTTGAAGATGTCCATCTTTGCAAGTTCCATACTGTGAGCAAATATTAGTGCTAGTCAAATGTCATAAGAAAGAACAATTCACATACCCACGAGGAAAATCTTTTAATTCTCTGTCGAGACTTTCTTTCAATTCGGCAACTTCTTCCTTCTTGCTTTCCATCTCTAACTTCATCCGGGCCTCCTCTCTCTCGTAGTGCTCTTTGCGTGCTTTATTCAGAATGGCTTCCTTCTCGTTTTCCAGAATGGCTCGCGTGGCTCCCTGGTCTCGGTCTTCATATGCCTGATGAAGGTCCTTGACAATTCCTTCCCAGTTCACAAAGTCCTTGAGCATCCCTTCAGCAGATTTGAGGCAATTTTCAGACAATTCCTTAAGCGTCTTTAGCTCTACTCCTACGTTGGTATTATGACGGGAGAGTGTCTCAAAAATGGCATAAACCTGTCAATAGGTGTTAGCATCATGGAGTGCGAGAGGACTCAAATATTCCCTACTAGATCCTCGACGGCGTCAGATTTCTGGTGGATATTTTCCATGTGCTCGAAAGCATTGCCAAAAGTAGTTCAACCAACGTTACCAACTTGAACCAGGGCGCCTTGAAGAGAATCGTTCCTAGATGTGGGCCAGCCTTAGACAAACCTCTAAGAGATTAGAAAAGAATCAACTTACTTTCGGAGATACCGAAAGTCCGGATTATGATATAGCTCTAATCCTGAGGCTTCGGGTCTTGCGGCGACGGCAGCACACATGGCCAGCAGCTGAATGCAAGCCGGTGCTACGGAAAGAACACCCATCCATTCGAAATTAGTCTCCCAATTCTTAGCTTTGATATCTATACTCAATGGTCAATCACAGAGGGCTCAAACTTCAGGGATAATGAACTCATACCGTCCATCACTTGCCAAGGTTGAGCAACCTCCTTCTCGCGGAGCTTGTCCATCTCGCCTCTGGTTATAATATCGGTCGACATGTTGATCGGCTGAGTTACTGTTTATTCAAAGAGTATTGTAACTTTGATCAGTAATGATATAGAATGCAGAATAGGTGGATGAGAGCTTCCTTTTATGTATGTTTGTATCCGCTTCGATTTTCGCAGAAGGTAAAATCGTACCCCATGTGACTGTGACATAGAATCTTGACGTCCATCTGAGCTGAGTTCAGCTGGCAGTCATGAAGCTTTTAGCGAGTCATTCAAAACACGATTTAAGTGGGTATGTTCCATTCCGATTGGTGGAATCAGCTGCAAGAAACACAGAATAGAACAATCGCGCGCAGATCATTATGAGACCTGCACGTTTCCGCGGATGGTACCTGCACAAGATCACTTTAATCACACTTTAAATCCCTTGCTTGCATGAAAAAAAGTGTTCACTGTTCTGATCGAGCTCTTGAACCCGCAGATCTAACCACATCATGGCCGGGAGCTTCAGAAGAGAGCAGCTGAAGAATTTTGATATTGCCAGTTCTGGGACAACGAAATCCAATAGTGTGTGATGAATCTGTTTTCAAGATTATTATTACTTTCTTTGTGAAACAGACGGTGACAAGTGTCAAAGCCCCACTTTTGAGAGTTTGCAAAAACATCCAATAGATACGAGAGGAAAGCTCATCAACACATTCAGCTTTCTTCCAAGCTTGCCCCACGGGATCTACCCCGCGCGGCAAGCGATTGAAGTTCAGCGCCTAATGAATATTTCAAGTCGATTTGTGCAACCAAAGCATAGATTCTAGACCGAAGATCTTTCGTCGCATGGCGATTTCGTGAGATTTGAAGGTATGTGGAACTGAGCTCGAGATCTCGGATTTGAGCGAAACTAAATTTGGTGATATGACGAGTCAATTTTCCACATTAGATAGTTCTTCAGAGAGATCCAATCGCAACACTTGTTCCCGCACTTTTACGGATTCCCCACAACATGTAATAAAGGCCGTATACAGATACCCGAAGACACAGCAATCCTCCCACAGATCAACTTATCAGCCCTCATTCTTCATACTCACTGAGTACATCATTCACCATGTCGAGCTTTCAACTACGAAGAACCGTTCCGGTTTACCAGAACCCGCTCATATCTGCTACAGTTCCGTCTCTCATTTTCACAGCCATGAGACCCACAGCTGTGTCTGCTCGGTCATACCAAAATGGCGGTCCATGGCATACACCAGTAAATCCAATCTGGAGACAGAATCGGTTCTATGCAATAAATCGACGGGAACCAAAGCAAATAAAGAATATAATAGACGTTTTGACAGTCTATGCCTCAGGTCGGCAGATTCAAAAGACAATCAAAACGTTAGAAAATGACGCCAAAGTCCATTTAGACGTGACTGCAAGGGTGGACATGAAACTCATCCCTGCCTATGCGACCTTGCTCGACTTGACAATGAAGATGGTTGCGGATGCAAACCCCCCTGAGCTATGGAACCAAAGCCAAAATGGGGAAGCCTTTCGCCAACAATTTCCAGAATCTCTACGTAGCACAGTGAAGTGGATACAAAACAATTCCAAGACACTCAAACCCCCTTCACATAGCGTCGTGGATCTGGCACAATCAGCCGTCAGACCCTTTGAGGATGCCCGGGACTTGTGTCTTACAACGCAAGACCGTCTGGGTAGAATTCATGAGCAGGTATTAAACCCACCTTCCAAATTTTATTTCGCAGCTAAAAAGATTGAAACCAGATCATGGACATGCAACATAATATTGGTATTTTCAACATAGAGCTAGAACGAGCAGACAAAGTACATCCCAGAGACAGAAAGATGCTGGCGCAAGCACGGGATAATACAATAAGTCGCCAGTTTGTCACATCAAACGATGCATATACAGCCGCTCTGAACGATGCCAAGATCGCTCAAAATATGATCAAAATGCTTAATGAGTGGGTTCAACCGTACTTCGACAGCGGGGAGCTCAAGGGTCTTAAAGATGAGGTTAGTCTGCTACTAGATCGCACAATTACTCAGAAAGACGTTTTGGAGCGGATCTTAACAGATCACGTGCGGGGGACCGCGATCGTGGCCAACACCTGGTTCCGACCGGTATTCCACCATCGGTTTGCCGAAAAAATCTTGGATATACTGGCTCTGGCTCCCCCATCCGAGATGATGCTTCCATACATGCGAAGCATCCTCGCTCTTCTCTCATGGCCTGGTACTTCTGTCCTGACACCAGACTCAGACAGCCTCGCGAGATGGAGAAGAAGGCCGCAGTCGGATTTAAGAACACGCTTGGATAAAATTGTAAAAATGGCCGAGGGTTATCAGAAGCGATTTTCTTATCAGGGGTCTGAGTCTGCCCTTAGGCGATACATGAACTGATTTCTGCTGCAATGTTTTCAGATAGATGGATACTTATTCAATGTATGTTGCGAAGCGTATGCTTTAGAAACTAGAGATGATTTTGAAACACAGGTATAGATTCATGAAACTTGTATAATATCCTGCGGTATTGGTGCAGAAATTATGAGTGCAGATCATGATATTCAATGCCTCTTCCGAAGTATGAGGAGTGGTCTTTTTGAAAAGCTCAATGAGGTTTGGGGGGCCCCGCCCCACCCCGCTTTCCTTCGAAAAATTCTTGGCAATTTTTTATTTTTGCTTGGTCTTTTTGGATGTTATTCGCCCTTTGAATGAGGCCTGTATTGTGTAACACGACAGACTTATTAGCAATATTCTACATCCTCTCTCATGATATCTCACGTTCAGGGTCATACGTACTTCTTGCGCTCCCTTGACTTGACTCCTGTGTGCATGAGTTTCGACATGAGTCAGACCTACTTTCAAGCTGAGTATTGACTCTCGAAATGAGTTAGGATTCTTGATATCAACAATGGCACGAGTGGGTATCAGAATTCCCCGTGCACGGGGCCATAAGCGCTCATTTTACCCACCTTTACTCACCTCAATAAATCACAGAAACCTCTTTCAACCCCCAACTACAGCACCATCAACACGTTCTAGACGGTTCAAAACACCTACTTTCGAGTTCTCTCGACCCGATATTCGGATTGTGGGAGCATGCGAAGAGGCAGAATCTGTATTGATACTTCTTCGCAGAGTCAAGACAAAATATTGCAGAAGCAAAGGATACTCACTAGGCCCGAGAAAATCGAAGAGAGGCCACCGCTTAGGGGTGTAAAATTGCTTAATGCAGCTTGGATGATTTGGTGGGGGAAATCAGAGAAAAGAGATTGATGTTCTACAATGACGAGCAAGAGCAAGATAAAATTGAGCAACCTCTCATGCCCCGAAACCTTATCGGTGTCCAGAAACTCAAACGAAGGATAATTATTGCCATCGATTAGTCGAATGGGAGGCATCCAAGCCGCATGCGCGGGAGGTAATGAATCAAGACAACGCAATCACTCCAAAGTACTATGTAGAGAAGCGACTACCTAACTCTACTGATGCTTTAAAAAGAGGCGGAAAATCGATAAACCGTAGCTTCTACAAGATTATAGTAACCCATCTATGACGAACGCTTGTCTTCTGAGTCACATGGATGTGGTCAGAATCGCATGAATACTAGGAGTCCGAAACTAGGAGTATTATCGGAGGTTTATTGGTGATGGCATCCACACAGGGAACTCATCGCAATAGTAGGTATGGTCAACAAGTGGTAATCAAAATTGAGCTTGAAGGGCCATATACTTGAGGAAATATATGCTGTATATATAGACCTTTGTTCTCCGTTGCTCATCGATGCTCGCCCCTGAGCAATGTTGAACGTAGATGAAACGTAGAGACACTAGCCCTCCTCTGAAATCCAAGATCAATTTCGATTGACGACCTTTGCTATTATGCAATTGTATTTGTAGTACACTTGTACTATCGTGTTCTTCGGTCAACTACCTGAAAGCGTCCAAATTGTTGTTTTCCCAAAAGTTTGCATTCCTTACACGTGATAGAGAAACATCACATGATATGCCAAGCCGGCTTCGGCATACCAACGTAAGTAGGCCTTGCCTATTGCGCTATGGGGCTCTTCGTTAGGAAAACATTTGTGTCAAATGGCAAGCATTGTTTCGTTTGTAGGTAGTAAATGGAAGGCTTGCTGGCTCGGACATCAAAGCCGCACTGTATGCAAGAGCCCGACCGGCCGACCTATCCATTGGGTGATCGCTCCATACACCCTGGATCTAGTAATGTATGATGCCGAGACCGAGAAAGAAGGCGCAGTGAGTACATTAGTTATTGGGAGAGTGGAGTTTAGCTGGTGATACCCGTGCCATGAAGTGAGGTGATGCTGTGGGCAGATAGTGACAAGACCATGAGATAGATTTCCGTATCACCAGCATATCGGCTGTGTATTGGAGTTTCGAAATTGAGTCGGATGAATCGGCTTCAACTATCATGTTTGGGAAACTACCTAGGTATTGGGAAATACATCTCATATGGATGCTATTGGTTTGAATGTTGCGAACAGATGAGATCTTGCAAGTAACCTCAATATTTGTGAGGACTGCGCCTCCTTCATTCGAAAAAAAGATGGCATTCCGATCTCGCAAACGGATAGGTTAGTGAGACTCAATTAGGAAGCTGAAATTCGTTTGTTGAATGGATTAGGCAGATGAATTCTTTTTGAAAAATGGATGGAAGAGATGATGATGTATTGATATATTGATAAAATGTGGAGACCGGAACTCACTAAAAATTCTAGGGAAATCCGCAAAGATGGGATTGAGGAATTCTTGGCAGGGCTGAGCTTTGAGATCTTCAGAAATGGAATCTCAAGAGACATGGATTATCACGAAAACGAGAAAAGAATGTTGTGAATGGTTTGGAGAGAAGAGACAAGGCGGATTATATCTTACGTAAAGTGAAGATGCCAGCTTCACGAGGCAGATCAATGCCAGATGGAGTCAACTTCTAGAAGGTCTGGTGGACGATAAGCCATGTGGTTGAAGCGACTAGGTAATCCGCAGATTTCGAATTCGGATTCGGGTTGAGGTAAATTGGAATGAGGGTAATGCCGGTTGTTTTTCCAAGGGCGAATGCGTCTGTGATAGGATGGTATATTATTTGTATTTCTTTTGAGGGAATTGTGAGATCTTATCTCTTTCGCCTCCTTCGGGATGTGATGAGAATGAATGCTGGGATGGGAGTTGGCCGTGTAGATGTATCCATACTTGAGTAGATGTGTTGCGCCCTGCTTACACGATGTCGAGACGACGAAAGAGAATGGGAAAAGTTGTATCTTGAATCATGAATCATGAGTCGTGAATTCCATGTATGATATGGTTGTCGACCGAGTAAATAATTGTAAGACGGATGAATCTTTTTTCTGTAATCGATGTAATATGATGTAAGGTCCATCGATGTACGATGTACGATGTAAGGAATGTTATCATAAATCCCGCTTTGCCGGGCGCAACGCTTAGTGGCTTTCCCTCTGTTTGTAGTGATGTAGCGACAAACAAGCTTTTCCGACTTTACAAGGTTCATTCTTATCACGAGGGATGAATGAGTGAAGGCGCAGGAAAGAAGAAGCAATAGTTGGAGCACAGGAGTATCACAAATGAAAGTGAGGAAAGAAAAGAAAAGAAATCGGGAAAAGATAATAAGGCATCATCGATTGATTTGGATACTTGGTACCAGTGCAAAACATAGGTACCTAGTAAATATTTGTATATTTATCTTATTTTATTGAATCCTTGGAATTTATTTCCAAGCTCTCCTTCAATTCTTTTTATCACTTCTCACTTCACTCATCACTCTCCATCACTCCTTCACTCTTCACCAAGCCTTCTCCTGCTGATGATTACCTAAGAGATCAACCTGGCGACCCACTTATTTACCACCCATCCTCCGTACAGCCCACCAACCCATTCCTTCCCCGCAAAAAGGTCCAAGCATTCAGTCAAAAAGCTTCCGCCTTCCATCGTGACTACCAATTAGGGTTACCTTGCCGTTGATCACTTGCTGCAAGAAAGTACTACATAATCAATCGCAACGCCCACCTCGGATTGATTCTCAGAGTGCCCAGGTCATACCACTTTGGAAAAGTTCAACTTATTACCACTTCTAGGTTACATATGACAACTTCTTCATTACATTCTTCAATTTGAATACTTTAATACTCTACTCCTATCGACATATTATCAAAAGCTCTACAGATCCTACAACTCTCAAATTATCAAATTCTCAAAACCTCAAAATGTCTTCAAGCTTTGATGGTAAACAAACTACGACCGACGACGTTCATAAGCCATTCTCATCCACTTCGGCCGCTGGTAATTCATCAGCTCAACACAATGGATATAATCATTCTCGCAGTACGGGAGCTGCTCATTCCGAAGGCCCTTTGATTAACGTTCAACCACCAAGAAGAGAAGATCTTCAGCCTTCCTATGCCCAAGTTCTACAAGGCGATGATGATACAAGTACCAACGGATGGTATGGAAGCATGAGTAAGTTTGAGACCTTTGCAGATTATGGCGCAATTTAGCAGATCAAGACTAATTATTGTTCGCACATAGTCAATGCTCTTGGTTCATGTATTGGTGCTTGCGGTGCTGTGCCTTGTTGCATTATCTGCCCCAATCCATATAAGCCAGTATCGCAGGGTAATGTTGGTCTTGTTACCAAATTCGGTCGCTTCTATCGTGCAGTCGATCCTGGTCTGGTCAAGATTAACCCTCTCAGCGAACGTCTCATCCAAGTCGATGTTAAGATTCAGATTGTTGGTATGCTTAATTCCTACCATTTCACGAAATTCCATTCTCCTAGAATGTGCCATTAACTTTTATTTTACAGAGGTTCCTCAACAAGTTTGCATGACCAAAGACAACGTTACCTTACATTTAACCTCTGTCATCTATTACCACATTACTTCTCCTCATAAAGCTGCATTCGGTATTTCAAATGTGCGCCAAGCATTGATTGAACGTACACAAACTACTCTTCGCCACGTTGTTGGTGCTCGTGTTTTACAAGATGTCATCGAGCGCCGGGAAGAAGTTGCGCAATCCATCGAGGAAATTATTGAGGATGTTGCATCAGGGTGGGGTGTCCAGGTTGAGAGCATGCTCATTAAGGATATGATCTTCAGCAACGAACTTCAAGACTCTCTTTCCATGGCCGCGCAATCTAAGCGTATTGGAGAATCCAAGGTTATTGCGGCTCGTGCTGAGGTTGAATCCGCTAAGCTCATGCGTCAAGCTGCCGACATTCTATCCAGTGCTCCAGCCATGCAAATCAGATATCTCGAGGCAATGCAAGCTATGGCAAAATCCGCTAATAGCAAGGTTATCTTCCTACCAAGTGCATCAACTATCGGAAGTCAAATGGCAAATGCTTTAGGAGAAGGTTCAGGAGAT